CAACTAGAAATTAAAATTATATTAGAATAAGACAATTAAATAAGGAAAATATTAAATTTGTCTGACATTAAAACCCACTTACCAACAAGTAGGGCAAACCCTAAACCTTATGACATGATTATCCTTGGTCGACGATTTTCAAATTCGAGACAGATATACACAATCATAAAATGTTTGCATTGCTCAAAGAAGTGTGATATTGAGTTTAACATATGTGAATTTGAGGAAGAAGACATCACAATATTGGAGAATTTGTTGCTTTGTCTTCTCTCCAAAGTAAAAAGGTTTTTATCCTAATGGTAAAAAAAAATGTACAAATGACTAGATGTTCAACTCAACAAAACAAATATTAGTTACGCGCTAACATGTTAATCTCAATTTCAATGATATTTTATAAGCACTTAACAAATTTAATAATATAATAAAAAAATTGTTTGTTTTTTTTATGGTAAGAAAAAAGTATTACACTCTTAAATTATTTTCCAATTTATTTAAATTGTAAATTAATCAAATGGATAATCTTTTCATAGAGTACGATCAATTTACCAATTTTTTCCTTTACCTCTCCCTTCTCATAAAAGGACAATCTCCCTTCTCATAAGAAAAGGTTAAGAATCAGCATCGACCCCCACCCCCACATCGCTATCATGGTGTTCTCACTCTTTTTATTCTTTACAAATTATTATTTTTTCACTCTACTTGGAATCTTTTATTTTTAATTTTCTGATTTTATCAAAGAAAAGTGCACCGTATCATTTTCTCAACGACACCTGAAAACGACATATTTTTTCTTTGCTTTCGTGAAACACGTCAATATAATTTGGTTTTTGTTCTTTTTGCCAAAAAAATATGTAACAAATTAGATTTATTTTACAACATTACAGTATGAGTCTATGACGTTATCTTTTTGTCAATATCTAATAATTTATGAATAAAATCATTTCTCACAAACATCTGACCAAATACAATTGCAGGCCATTGGTAATAATAAAGTACAAGTATTTATGCAAATGAAGGATAGGACCCACAAGAGGGACACGTCACCCCGACAAAAGCTTAGATACTACATGTACATTTTCTGCAACACTCTATGAATGCATTGTGCTATTGTACACTTGCTTCACCCTCTGAAATCCTTTAATCAATTTCCTCCGCCGTTTCCACCACCATCGCCCGCCGCCTCTTTCTCTACGCCCACGGTGTAGATGGCTCAGTCTCTTTACACTAGTCTTCCAAAATCAACCACCATTTTCACCTCTTCAACCTCCCCTTCATGCACCCTCATCTTCATCCTCACCCTCTGCATTATCTCTCTCTACTCACTCCATTACCACAACCAGCAAACACCTCCTCCGTCACCATCCACCACAGCCCAACATCCACCGCTTATCTCCACTTTCCTTAACTCTGCCTCTAATTACACCATATCTAACTATCTCCGCCACCTTACCCTCCACCCCCATCTCGCTGGTACCTCACCCTCATCCGCCGCCGCCGATTACGTCAAGACCAACTTCGAATCCCTCCATCTCCAAACCCACGTCACCAACTATTCCGTACTGTTATCGTACCATCTCCATTCATCACTCACTGCCCACTTCAGCAACAGCAGTACCGCCGTCCCACTTCCCTTGACCGAACCGGGGTTAGGTTCTGACTCCGGGGTCGTCAAACCGTACCACGCTTATTCACCATCCGGATCGGCGTACGGGAAGGCGGTGTACGTTCACCATGGGAGGGAGGAGGACTATCGCGCACTGGCGTCGGCTGGCGTGGACGTTAAGGGTTGTGTAGCTGTTGCGAAGAGAGGCGGTGGGATGTCAAGGAATGCGGTTGTGGTGAAGGCGGCGGAGAAAGGCGTGGTGGCGGTGGTTATGTATACCGAAAATAACGACCGAGCAAGAACGTATTACGGAGGTGGGGTGGAGAGGGGAACAGTGTTGGATGGTGTCGGCGACCCACTGACACCCGGATGGGGTGCAAGTATTAATGGAGACGTAGAGAGGTTAGGGATGGAGGATGATGAGGTTTTGAAGAGGTTTCCGACGGTGGCTTCAATGCCGATCTCGGCTGAGACGGCGGAGTTGATTTTGGGGTCACTGGAGGGGGCCAGGGTGCCCCATTGGTGGAGGGATGGTGACCTTTTCGGGAATTTTAACAGGGTTGGCCCTGGACCAACTTTCTTGAATTTCACATACCAGGTTAATTTGCTTTTCATTTTCTTGGACCACTTCAATTCTTCTTCTTCTTCTTCTTCTTCTTCTTCTTTCACTTTCAAATAAAATTTGTTGAATGTTGGTTGGTTTTTTTCATTTCATCTTATGAATTAGGCAGATTTGGGGTTATATCAGAAGGCATTTGATTTGAGTTTTCTAAATTTGATTACTAATTTTTATTTCAACTTTTAATCAGGGGGAGAATAAGATGGCAACAATCCAAAATGTATTTGCTGTGATAAAGGGGTCAGAAGAGGCTGACCGGTTTGTGGTTCTGGGCAACCACAGGGATGCATGGACATATGGAGCGGTTGACCCAAATAGTGGCACTGCTGCCCTTATTGACATTGCCAGACGATATTCTCTAATGATGCGTTTGGGGTGGAACCCTCAAAGGACAATCGTTCTTTGTAGTTGGGATGCAGAAGAATTTGGGATGGTAGGTAATATTCGAATTTAATAACTTGATCTTTTGACTCAAGATCATTGGTTTAGATTAGATATGTAACAAATAGTAAAAACATTTTATTCAGATTGGATCTACTGAATGGGTTGAGCAAAATCTTGTAAATTTGGGGTCAAAGGCGGTGGCATATATCAATGTGGATTGTGCAGTTCAAGGGCCTGGATTCTTCGCTGCTGCAACACCTCAGCTAGATGATATCCTTGTAGTGGTCACTAAGAAGGTATACGCCTGCTGCCTTAAAGGGTATTTTAGGTATTTTACTAATTGTCGGATAATTCTGTTGGGTTAAGTTAATTTTTTTTTTTTTTTAAATAACAGGTTACGGATCCAGATTCATTGGATTCAACGCTCTTTGAGAAATGGAGAACAAGTACTGATGGCCCCTTGGTATGCTCAATTTATGAACCAAAATGCGTTTAACAAAAACAAGAATCTATTTAATGAAATTTTTTGATTTTATTTATGTGTATTTGTAGATCCAGAGACTAAGTGACGTATTTTCTGACTTTGCTCCGTTTTTACACCATGCGGGGGTTCCTTCTATTGATTTGTACTATGGAAAAGGTACTACCAACTCTTATACCATTTTCCTATGATGCATTTGGCATTGTTTTAAGCGTCAAATTCATATCTATGCATTTGGCGTTTTCACTTTTTTAATTTGTTACCAATATTTGGATATGGTACACAAGTTCTACCAATTGCTAATCATTTTTTTGGATCTTATGACGATTTCTAGAGTTCCCGGTTTACCACACTGCTTTTGACTCATATGAGTGGATGGTTAAGTATGGAGATCCGTTCTTTCACCGCCATATGGCTGGTTAGCTTTTTTTTTTTTGGGTCTATTTATGCAAAATATTACAATCCTAAATATATCATCATGAAGCATGTAATGTAATGTTGTAAATATTTGTGGTTGTGATCTTAGTTGCTGGGGTTTGGGGGTTGCTTGGACTTCACATGGCAGACGATCCTATCCTGCCTTTCAACTATCTTTCCTATGCCACTCAGTTGCAGGTAAGGGAAGCGTTTCACTAGTTGTAAAATGCCAAAAATATCCTTCATCAGTAAAAATAAAACAAATTTTGAGATGTTATGTTATTCTTTTCTTGATTTCACAGAACTACACGCATTCATTAAGCAAGTTGTTGGAAGGGGATGTCTCTGTGCATCCTATCACATCTGCCATTCAAGAACTTGAGGATGCAGCTAAACAAGTAGAAGATGAGATGAAGGTTTGTATTCCAAAACCAGTTTTAGTGAATGGTTTATGGGATACTTTTTTGGCCATGTTGCCAACGATTTTGATGCGACAAGAGTTGTTATAATTCGATTCGTTTTGCAGAAATTGAGGGTGGAAGAAAGTGAAGGTCATGTTTTAGTTTTGAGGAGGCGCATGTTGAATGATCGTTTGATGTTGGCTGAAAGAGGCTTCTTGGATACAGAGGGGATTCGGGGAAGGCAATGGTTCAAGCATCTTGTAAGCATAAATACATAATTAGTAACTTTTAATGTTGATAATGTAAGTTCAGGATTGAGGATGGAAACATTTGCCTACTAATCAAATGTCTAAAATACCCTTGGAAGGGAACTCACAATGCAAGTTACATGGTGTAGGTATATGGACCTGCTAGTGAGAGTAAGCTGGGATTCTTTCCAGGAGTTGTAGATGCAATGTATGGGTCAAGTACAAGTAGAGGAGAGAAAGAGGAAGCAAAAAAGAAGCAGGAAATCATCATCCAACATGAAATATGGAGGGTTGCTAGGGCCATTCAAAGAGCTGCAAGTGCTTTGAAAGGTGAACTAACCTGATATAACACTTGCTCTTGGGAGAGTAATGACTAATGAGGAGGTTGTATATATAGACCATGCCTCTAACATGTCTCTAAGATGAGTTTAGTGTTTTTGATGCTTTATCCTCCCATACCCCACATCAGATATGTATATCCAATGTTAACAAAAGTCGGGCAGTATTGTTTTTGAAACTATGCTACCAACATATAGAAATAACCCGGATTTTGCTTATTTAGAACAGCTTATGTTTTTCTTTGTCAAGGTAGTAGTTCTTATGCGGTGGCCAAATGGAGTTTTAAACAGAAAATGTTTGGATTATAGCTGATGTGGGTACCAAAATGCAATGAGTTTATACCCATCTTTTACCGTGACTACACATGAAATAGCTTATTCAAAAACGCTTTTTTGTGATATCAAACAACATTAAGCATAAAAGTGCAATACAAAGTACTTATTAGTGGGCACAAAACTATGCCAAGTTTTTCTCTAGTTCCTTTGTTGCCTTTGTTAGAATCTAATTGGTGCAAAAGCTTAATGTCTGCATGTGTGAGCATATTAACACGTATAAGTAGGAATAGAAGTTCGATTCTTTTATGCTCACATACCCTCACATATGGTACCAACTAATGTATCTGTCAAGAATTACATCTAAACTGACTGCAGCAGTAAAGAGTAACTTTTTACACAAAATTCATGTAACACCAACCATTTTACAGCCATCTAGCAAAAAAAAAAAACAAACTATTTTATTGATTTATTGCTTTGCATTTCTCTTTAGTTGTATATTTTCACTGGCTTCTCAAATGTGCGACCATTCTGCACCAGATTTTAATCCAACATAACAAGTGCATTAGATGTCACCATCAACCAAAGCCAAGAAAGATGATAAAACGGATTTCATTAAAATAACAAGCCAAATAAACAGCAAATCATTTGATTTGATAAAAACTTAATTTAAGGAGAAAACGGGTTAACCTGATTTGCTATAAAGTAAGGCCTTTTATGGGGTCGAGTGTTCCAAACCAAGGTACTGCTCCCAGATACCATATATATCTCTTCTCTATAAACCAGGTTCAAAAATTATATGAGCATAAATAAATAATAACAACGAGAGGAATTAATGATAAAGTTTAACTGCAAACCTGAAAACGGGTAGATACAGCATCTGAATCTTGTAGATACTCGGGACGCCCCATGAATACAAATGCAAACTTCCACTGATAAATACAAAGAAAAATTGTGGGCCCAACTCCAAATCAGATAGATGACATGTCATTATAGCTTTAAAGTTTAAAGAAAGCATCACACACACAGAATAAACCTTGGAAAATTCATCATCATGAACATCCAACTTCCTCTCAATGCGGATTTTAACAGACGCTAAAGTTTCATTTTCACCAATTATCAAAAGGAAAGGCTCCCCAAAGTTTTGCACTTGCTGTCAATTTTATTAAAAGATAAACCCATAAATTCACAGTTCAATAGAGCATGACATGTATGTATGTATGTATGTATGTATGTATGTACCATCTGGTTGTCTTTGGTGAAATGGTAAACATGAATCAACCGATCCCGGGCTCCCAGGTTCTTCTCTTCTTTCGGAATCTTAGGAAGGTTACAACAAAACAAACAGACATAAATTATCAACACTTTCTTTCTGATTATTCACCAATTCATGATAAGTCATTCAGGAAGAAAGCTAAAACTTACTTCCTCTGCACGTAATGTCCAATATTGATCATTTATATTCTCAATTTTCTGAGTTACTGGAAAGATCTGCAAGCCAAGGACAAGAAAACCATATCACATGCATAAGAATGTGTACCAAACAAAACAAAGGATTATAATTATATTATTAGTAAATTGACTGAATTCCAATACGTACGTACGTACCTTGTAAATTTTGTGGTAAAAAATTTCAAGCAATCTAAGTTCAGCATCCGGGTGAGATAGAGATAATCCAACCTGTTTGTTTCAACATACATAATGCATTTTCATCAATAAATTATCTACTAATAAGATAATCTATATATGATAGTATTAGATTATATTTATAGAACCTTTGTCTTAACTTCATTAAGGACATCTCCAACAGTGCTCTGCTTAGGCAGCTTAATATTGTGAATCACAGGCTGTAACCACAACCACAAGTCCACAACACAGCACCTTTTAGATTTTAGAGAAAAAATTTCCTTGCACAAGAAAAAAGCATGCAACCGTTGCAGATTTTCAAACACACATACCTCTTCTTTGGTAGAATGATGAAAGGTAATCTTCAAAGTTTTCAGACACTGTATTTTTATCACCTGACGTTTTTTGACATATCCCAGAAATAAAGGAACATCAGGGTATCGGTATTTATCCATATCCTGAGCACGAGATGGTTTCTGAAAACAAATAATGTCTCCATCCTCCATCTAAAAAGATATATATAAGGCCTTTGTTTCAGATTTAAACACCACTCACAGTCACATATATATACGTAAAGCATAAACAACTTTTTGATGATAAAAAGCTGAATATATTATACCTCGCTATCTCTAAATGACTTTTCCATGTCAAGACGTTCGCACATGACACATGGCTCAGATCTTATTTCCTGGTCAATCATAGATACCACACAACTATGAAATCACAACTTGTACTGCAGGAACTGGAAGTTTACAACATATATATATATATATATATATATATATATATATATATATATATATATATATATATATATATATATATATATATATATATATACCTCATAGAGTTCAATTTTTTCATCTGGACTAAATCCAGCTCTCTCATTTAATTTTGATATTATTTCAGTCGGTTTACCACAACTCTTCACAAAAAACCTACCAACGTATCTGGAAAAAAAAAAAAGAATATAAAGTATAGCTACTCAAGAACCAAATTAACTGGCCTATTAAGAATTGAAGAGAGAAGACTTAACATGTTGCAAGTACCTGAGTTCTTCCTTCTCAGGATCATAAAGCTTGAAAAAAAACAAGAATATCTTGTTTGCTTTTGTCAGGTGGTGGAAGAGGACGCAAATCCTGAAAACAACACATAACTTTAGTCAGTAGTTACTACAACTAAAGAATAAAAGGTATTGGGAAGCATTAAGAGTGAATTAATTAACCGGCAAGATAATAACAATTATTAATCACCGGTCCAATCTCTATCTCAAAGAACAATTCCAGATCAGCATTGTCACTCATATTGGAAAGCTTCCTCAATTGCCTAACCTACATGACTTCCACATGTTTCTCATTAATTGGATACAAAAACTTAATACTTTAAAGTGACGATGCAGGTAAAAGCCACGTCATCATATACCGATTGTGTCTCCTCCTGTGCTGTTAAAGGGCGATTGGGACGGTATGTGTCGTTCTGTCTCTTCGCCCATATCCAGAACCGTTGAAATCGAGCAGGCACACCAAATTCTTTGGCAACCTCTTCCTGCACACCATAAGAATATGTATAACATGTATCGAACATGATCCACATGTCATCAAAACAAGAAAAAAAAAAAAAAAGAAATACCTTGAAAAGTTTAAATACCATTTGCTTCATTATATAAAAGCTACGGACTTTATTATGGTCGACAAGATCAAAATACATATCCTTCCCAATCTGTTGTAACATGTCTTCATCACGCGCAACCTACAGTACAGCATGTCAATTGATGATATTAGTGAGAAAGAAATAAACAAGGAACCAATTAGGAACGTGAGATGATATATATCTACCATGCACCTTGATAATAGTATACAGATGAGGCTGTGCCTTATATCTTCTCTTGACTTCCCTCTCTTCTTCTTCTTTCTTCAACCTTTTCTGGAAAAGGATAGTTACAAATTACCTTCTCTTTCAACCCCACGAAGTAGTCAAGAAAGTTCAAAACTAATACTTGCATGAGAAAACATACCTCATTAAGTTCATTGTCTTTGTTCTTTGCCAAAACTTTTTGGGGAATACAACTGCTATCCGTATGCATATGGTCAAACACCTTGCAAAAAGAAGAGTTACCTGGTTTCCAACTGTACTCAACCCGAAGAGTGGACAATGAGTATCCATTGCCATAAGGAATAGAAACAGAAATCTCATCAACCCAATTTCCAGTTGCCTTAAAATCAACCAGAATTCTAGCATATCCAGCTCTACCAGAGGCCTTCATACACATCCTTGCTGTACAAGTATCAACTGCCAAAGGATTACCAAGCATAATAGCAATAATATTCAACCCTTCCTTGTTCCATAACTCAAGAGGAATGTCATAGATTGTAATCCAAACAGGGAGTTTGAGATTATCATGTTTAGACTTATCAAGAACTAAACCTGGAGTCCACCTCTTGAGAAAAATACGGATGTTATTAATGGTCCATGGTCCATTTTCTAGAGCTAAAAACATTCCTTCATCAGTCTTGAATTTGAAAAAATAGAAACCCTTATGGTTCTCCATGACATCTTCAATGCCATGTGTTTTCCACATGTTACAAATATGGTATTCAACTAAGGAAAAATCGATCGCCTTTTCTTCAATGAAAACCCCATAAAGGGTATGAGAATATGGAAGGCTCCCCCTATTGACTACATCTGCAGGGATCATCACAGAACCATTCACATTATTAATAACAGGCTTCACATATTCAAGCTGTAAATCATTGCAGCTTGCTTTTATATCAGAACCATGACTAGGCAAGACCATCGTATTCTTGGACAACAAATCGTCACCAACAGCCCCATCATGAAACATTTTCCTCAATTTCGCCCTATCATGAAACGCAGAAGATGAACAATCACCTCCACCCACATCAAAGTCCCCCATATTACAAGCTTTCCGGCTATCAAGACTATCTTTATCACCTTCACCAGTTCTAATGGCATTCAAAGCTGCGGAACCACCATCCCCAAGACCCACAACAGTGCGGGATTCTGGTGGGGCAATGACGGTGCTGTTGGCGGCAGAAAATTTTGCCGCCTCCTTTTGCCAAACAGGGGCACCTTCTTCCATATTTCTACGATTTTAACGATTTTCCGAACCACCCATGATGAAAAGAAACAAAAAGCACGAGAAACCCTAAAAACACCAAGAGTCTAGAAAGAAAACCCCTTAAAACACCCTTTTTGTGCTGCATGAAAAGAAAATTATGGGTCGCTAATCGCTACAAAGAAAAACCCTAGTACATTTACTTATGTAATATGTAATGTGATATTTGCTGGTCTTTTCATCTCCAGGCCTAGTGGAAATTGTTTTAAATGTAACTTTTGTTTTGTTTAATCATCAGTTAATTATATTTCTTCTTTTGATATAATTCAAAAGTTGTTGCATGCATGCACTGATCCTCTTGAGCGTGCCATGCATTTTTCATCGGCCATTTGTACATGCACCAATAAGACTATAAGAGAATACTATTGATTTCTGGTAATATTCATTTCTACTTAAAATATTGAATGCAAGATAGAAAAATGTTTGAACCTTTTGGATTGGAGCAAGTTTTTGAAAGAATTTAATAGTTTCTGCCTTTCTGGCTTTATAGTTTTAAGAAAAAAAATCTTATAAACAAAAAGGCATTTTTGTACAATTTAAAACTCACTTTTTGCTGTGGATATGTTCTTTGGATACTTCCATTACAATATATATATTTTTTTTTACAAAAAAAAAAAAAAATTGCATTTCAAGAAATTAAGAATTTCACAAATTGGATATATGTTGTGATTTTAGTGTAGTTAGTGTTACTATTGAGACAGTTTGAGTTTAGTTTATTTTCCGAGACTAGAGGTGCGGAGTGTACAATCGGATTGATAAATGTGGACTCGGAAATACGGATATCCGGGGGCAGTGCCCATAGGGAAAGGGTTCAAAAGGGTTCCGCTCTAAACCCTTTTTATTGCGTCATTATAAGTTTGGTGGCATTGCTACCCTTATAAGCGCCATCAACCGTCATCTATCATATATTTAAGGAAGATTGATGTTGCAGACAACATATAGATAAACGAAATATTGCATCGTTACTCTCAGAATTTTTTCTCTGAAATACACAAATCTCAACAAAATATTCTGGTTTTCTAACTCTGATTAAGCCTATAATCAAAACTGAAGTTCTTGGATTATCTTACTTCTGAATTCATGCAACCCCAGATCACATATGTATAGCCAATGTTAACAATAAGAATCAGTATTGTTATTTAAACTATATATGCTACCAACATAGAAATAATTGGGATTGCTTATTTAGAAAATCTTATGTTTTTCTTTGTGAATGTACTTATTTAGAAAATGGCTAATCTCATTTGCCATCTTATGTTTGGGTGACAAATTTCTCAAAAAAAACTCAAATTTCACACTAACTGGAACTTTTTTTGCTCAGAAAATGTTCTTTTGAAGATTTTAACCATAAAAAAGTTTAAACTAACGATTTAAAAAAAATGCATATCAAGTCCAAGACATTAAGAATTTCGCATACCAGATCGGTATATGCGGAAAATTTCTCCTTACAAAAATTGAAAGATTGATATTTTCCACAACTAGTATATGTGTTCTAAAGTAGATATACCAATCTGATTATCATTATAGTAATTTATGAAAATGACCAAATCCCTAAAGTAGATATACCAATCTGACCATAATTATAGTAATTTGCCTAAAAGACCACCATATTCAAATTTGGTAGGGTTTGAACATCGCTATAAGTTTAAACTTAGTTATCGTGGTCTCTTTTATTTAAAATGTTCATTTTTCATAAATGCTCATCAATTCCGAAACTCGTATGTCTTGATGCTCTCCATTCATAGTTTGAAACTAAGTGGTGTCGATACATTACTACAAAAGAGGTTTCAAGGCATATATGTTGGTTATCCGTGGAAAGTGTCTTTTACCGTCGGATTCTGATGTAAACAAATCTGTCGGCAAAAATTCATGATAATTTTTCCTAAGAGTTTAGCGACAAATTTTAATATCTTAGTGATAGATTTGCAACATATTTTATGTTAATAGGAAAGTTTTGTTAGACGCTTCATTGACATTTTTATAAAAGACCAACCTATAATTAACTATTTATAATCAGTTTTTTCAAAAAACAATATAATTTCAACCAATAAAAATATTTCAAAAACTAATTAGAATGTCTATATAGTAAAATGAATGACTTTTTAGCCAACCCCATTTTATTATATGTAACTTTGGGTGGCTCATATTTCAATTAGAGTTTTTAGGTTTTAGTAAATGTCTAAAATCCGTTTTATAGCTAGGTACAAGATGACTAAAGGATCTTTGTTGGACAAAACCAATACTATATTTTCAGATCTTGTAAACTATATTCTTAGATCTTGTAACACCCCTAGATCCAACATGAAATATGGAGGGTTGCTACTTGCTAATGCTAGCTAGGTAGGGCCATCCAAAGGGCTCCTGCAACTGCTTTGAAGCTTGAAAAGTGAACCAACATAGCAGATGGGAGTAATATGTCCTGTTAGTGTCCCTGACGCTTCATCCACACATCAAAACACGCATAGTCGATGTTAGCACCAGCTGCCGGGATATAGAAATAACCATAGTTACAATTTGACTTGTGTAGTGGTTCAAACAACCAGTCTTGACTGTGATTTAGTTGCTTGATATTATGTATATAATACACGGCAAGAAGTAAATTGTGAAGTGTAAGGAGGTAGCTGTATCTGTAAAGTGCAAGCAGTATCAGTAGAATTGTAACTTTTTACAAAATTCATGTAGCATATCAGCAACCATTTTACATCCAACATACAAAAAGAAAAAAGACTATTTTAGGCACGCAGGCAGGGAGGCAGCTTGCTTATACACTCAATCGCTCTTGCTCATTCAACAAAATCTTCCTATGTACTACTTACTAAATTACACATGACATATCTCAACAAGACAAGAGAAGAGGGGGGCTGGTGCTCATATCAACAACACATTTAAAGGGGGTCCAAAAAGAATAGCATAGCATTAGCAGCAACCTACAATACAAAACCAAAAACACAGACGAAGGAAAGGAAAGGAAAGGAAACCAAAGGAAAGCAAGCAGCTGCCAAGTGCCCATTTTCAATTGCTTTACATTTTTGGCATGTTCTTAGTTGTATATCTTCACTGGCTTCTCAAATGTATGACGATTCTGCAATCATTTCAATTTCAGTATTAACTACAATAAAGGCATAAATTAAGGAGAGATGAGATGGGTACCTGATTTGCTGTAAAGGACCTTTTTGGGGTGGTGTCAGAGTGTTCTAACCCAAGGTACTGCTCCCAAGCACCATAATCTCTTCTCTACATTCCAAACCCAAACATAACATATTATAATACTATAGTAGTACACTCAAGTCAAGTGGATAATGAAAGTAAGTACATACCTGAAAACGACTAGATACAATATCTGAATCTGTTAGATACTCCGGACGTCCCAGAGATAGAAACGCAAATTTCCACTGACAAACAAAATCCAAAAAGGGAAACAAGTCACATACATGCTGCTCAAAAGAAAAAAATCATATCATATCATATATGATAATCATACCTTGGCAAATTCCTCATCCGGAACCTCTAACTTGCGCTGAATGCGGACTTTAACAGCTTCTAAAGTTTCATTTTCATGAATTATTAGAAAGAAAGGCTCTCCAAAGTTTTGCACTTGCTGTCATGTCAATTTTATAAAATAAATCAACCGCTCTACGGAACATGATATGATGTGGTGGAACAGAAGGGTGGTGTGGTTATTACCATCTGGTTCTGTGCAGCCTCTTTGGTGAAATGGTAAACATGAATCAACCGATCCTGAGGTCCTAGATTCTTCTCTTCTTCTGGAATCTTAGGAAGGTTACAACAAAACAAACACACATAAATTATTTCCACTTTCTTCCTCATTATTCACCAATCAAACATAAGGAAGAAAACTACAAGTCAACTTACTTCCTCTGCACGTAATGTCCAGTATTGATCATTTATATTCTCAATTTTCTCAGTCAGGGGAAAGATCTGCAAACGAAACCAAATCAATCAAATAATAATAACTAGCATTACAAAGGATTCTAATTACCAACTATATTAATACCTTGTAAATCTTGTGGTAAAATACTTCAAGCAATCTCAGTTCAGCATCCGGATGAGATAATTCAACCTGCTTGTTTCAACATACATGCATTTATTTTATTTTCATCAATACAATTATAAACAAAAACACAACAAGCAGTTTCAGATTTCAGTCACCAACAGATCCACTAATCAGATAATCCATAAATGCAAGTTGAGAGGAATGTATATTTATACCTTTGTCTTGATCTCATTGAGAACATCTCCGACAGTGCTCTGCTTAGGCAGCCTAATATTGTGAATCACAGGCTGCAACCACAACCACAACACAAGAGCTTTTAGATTAGAGACTAAAAGGAACAGTTGTAGCCCTTTCTCCGCACACCTACCTCTTCCTTGGTTGCATGGTGAAATGCAACTTTGAGAGTTTTCAGACACTGCAATTCCGGGAGAGGGATGTCTAACACCTCGTAATACAGAATATCAGAAACCTGTGACAAACAGAGAGTCATTTTGATTTTGTGGTTACCATAATCATATCATATGTTGTTATGTCATCAGCAAGGACAAGTCAGAAAAAGAGAAACCAAGGCTACCTGATTGTAGTGAACAAGCATGTCTAGCAAATGTTCTGCAACCCGAAACTTTATGGGGTGGGGCTTTGGTTGTTGAGAATAACAGTTGTGAGGAGTCAGCCTGATTTTCGTAGGATCATCCAGACCAAGCTGCCTGGCAACTCTCTCCGTCACATCATCATATGTATGCAGCTTTGACCTATCCGTTCCATTCCATTCCATTCATTTTAAAGTATATATTACTTTCATGTTGATTTACCACATTATGAAATAAGAAGAAACCCCCAAAAAAAACTCACAGTTCAAGACAGAAATCATCCTCCTTGGGTCTATCCAGAGATCGAAAATGAACCATCTGACGATTTTTCACATATTCCAGAAACGAAGGAACATCCG